AAATAAATAAATAAATAAATAAGAGTCCCACGCAGGCCCCCCAGAGGACGGAACCGGCACAGGAGCGCGACCGGCACGGCCTGGAAATCCGGCTGCAGGAGCTGGAGGAGGAATGCCGTCGGCTTCGGGAGGCTTTTGACAAGAAGAACCGGGAGCTCCAGAGCATGTCGCAAGAGTGAGTGGGGAGCCCGGGCGGGGCGGCGTCCGATGCTGGCACCGTTCCCCTGCCAGGCTGTTTCTCCCCCTGGGCTGGGCTCACGTGTAGCCGGGAAGTCGGGAGCTCCCTTGCCCGGTGAACGTCCTGAGCCGTAAGCGTGAAGTCCGGGGATCCGAAGGTGCAATCAATCGGGCGGGCGAATAGTCCGCCCATCTTGATGAGCCAGGCTCCGGTCGCTGCACGAGGGCTGGCGTGTCTGGAATGATGCATCCGTGCATACCAGCCACGTACTGAAATGCAAATGAACGGCAGTAGATCATAGGTTTAAAACAACAGCAGGTCAGCTAGAGGGGAATCCGTCTCTTTCTTCCCAATCCAAAGATGGGAGAAGTTGGCCGCTTTGTTCCGACGGGGACGTAGCACGGCTCTTTTAGACCTCGGAGGAGGAGGAGGAGGAGGAGGAGGAGGAGGAAAAGCAGGAGCGTGCACACATGTTTACTCTGTAGAGCCAAATCCCATCCAGACACGCTGAAGGTGACAGATCTCCCCCCTTCTTCCCTCCCCTTTAAGGTTGAAAGACGTCAGAGCCATCAAGGAGCAAATGGAAGCCAAGCTGACCGACTCCGAAGACCAACTGATGGAAATGCAGAAGGCGCTGGATCGACTTCAAGAGCTGCCGACAGACAGGGACGCGCTGCTGAAAGTGAGCTGGCGCTCGCCCGGGCTCTCTTGCGAGCGAGCAAACACGCTGCGGCCAAGCCGGGCCCAGAAACGCGTTTCTCTTTCTTGGCTCCCCAGGAGCTGCTGGAGACCCGAGAAGACCTGGAGGAGGTCTTGGGGGCCAAGCAGAAGCAGGAGGACCACCTGCGCCAGCGCGAGCGCGAGCTGACGGCGCTGAAGGGGGCCCTGAAGGAGGAGGTGGCCAGCCACGACCAGGAGCTGGATCGGGTCCGGCAGCAGTACCAGCAGGACATGGAGCAATTGAGGCGCAACATGGAAGACGTGTCGCAGGTGAGCGGCGGTGCGGGGTCTGGGTCTTGTGTGCAGCGGAGGGAGGCTAGCTGGAAGAGCATCGGGGATCTCGCCCAGCCCTCTGTCTGATGTGCTAGATTTTTTTGTGTGGGGATCCTGGGGCAAGGAGGCAGGGAAGAGCATCGTATCTTCAAGAGAAGTTACCACTTGATTAGACCAAGGTTGAGGCAGGGAAAGGGACCCATCTCATTAACCTTGGATCGTTTGAGCTTTGCAACCAAAAGTCTCACGTTCAGCTCCTAGGATTTAGACCAGGATGTCTGGGAGTGAGGTGCTCATGCCCCCATGATCATTCTCCAGATGTGGCCCACCTCCCCTTTGGGTGAGTGGATCTTGATTCGGGTCCTTCCCCCTCTTTGAATCTGTGCGTTGGTCTTCTTCTGGTGTAGGATCAAGCCAGCCTGGAGGCTGAGAGGCAGAAGGTCAACTCTCTGGTGAGGAACCTCCAGACGGAGCTTCAAGAAAGCCAAGAGGAAGGAGATCACTGGAAGGAGATGTTCCAAAAAAACAAGGAGGAGCTGCGTAATGTGAAACAAGAGTGAGTCAACCGTGTTTCCCTCCTGTCCATCTCTCCTCTAAAAATTCCACTCAGGTGGAGAGGCTCTCGTGCCGAACCATCTTTAATCATCTTCAGTTGCTTCGTGCGTGAATTTCATGCAGCTTGGCTGGTTCTCCAAGACAGCTTTAAGCGTGGAGCAAACTGCTCTGAAGCTTTGTGTTTCTCCTGGTTGCCTTGGGCATCCCATCGCTGCCTTTAGTTT